AAAAATTATATTCTTTGAGTATACTGCATAATATATAATATTTTCACTGTGACAAATTGATAAGTTGTGGAAAATACGAGTATAGTAAAATATGCATGATAATGTATTATCTTATTTATATTCTATATATTTATATTAAATATAACAGTAATTAGCAAAGTATGTTTATAAATAACTAGATATCAATACATTTGGTTTAAAGATAATTGATCTAAATTTTATTTGTATTTATGTACTAAATTTTGAAACAAAATAAGCATAAAAAAGTATTTTTAAAAATACGAAATAGTTTAAACTTTAATTTTAAATTAAAAATTAACATAACAAGAGTCACTCAAAATGTATACACAACAGTACAACACACATGATTCAAGACTTGAATTAATGATGAAAATAAGAATATTATAGCACATAATATAATTATATTTAAGTTTTATGAAAAATAAAATCTGTAGAAAACTGCAATTCAATAGATTACCTAACTAATAATTCAAGTGAATAAAACATCTAAACAATTAATTGCAAGTTTAAACTACAAATTGTAAAAAAAAAAAAACTATATATCAATATAATATGATCATATTTCATTATATATATGCTCAATGTTTTTGAAAATCATACGATGATGATAAATCGTTATTTTTTTTTTTATTTAAAAAATCCACCAGGTGAGAGATATTATTGTTATAGTTAATTTACATTTAAAATTATAATTTTAGAATCAAAWAGTTATTTTTATCGCATTAAAGGTGAAAAATAAAATGTATGTGCTTACAGAAAGCAAACTAAGTTTTATTTATTTTTCAAATATTAAAAAATACGTGATTATCTATAACCAAACACAATATAACTAATAATATATAAGTGCATACGTAAAAAGTACCTATTATGTTTATTAAGCGGTATTTTTTTTCTCGTAGATGCGATATAACTGTTGCGAATTTTAGACAAACCCCCAAAGGGAGGTGGGACTTGTTGCGCACGCTGAAAGGAGAAATACAGAATATTACCCCCTCAGACTGATCCACCCGTACGGATGCGTAGTGTTCGTAACAACGTAGGACGTACCTATATATTTAAACGGAAAAGTAGATTTCACTCTGTACAGTATCTTTGTTTGTACCAAACTGGTCGCGCTCTGGGGCACAGGTAAGTGGTGTTTAATATTTTTTCTCGCTCTTTTACCGTTTTTAAATATAGCATTTATATGAAAAATTTACGATACATTTTCCAAAACAAATAGATGTGTAGGTTCTATTAGTTCTGTTTGAATATTCAAGTATGAYGTTATGTTAAAAATTAATTATATTAAATATATTAAATATAACTATATTTTTTAAATGAAATGAATTAATGAAATTACCGATCTCTATTTAATTTAACATGGTAAGATATAAACATTATAATAATATTGAAAAAAAAACATTCAACTAAAAAAATAACGATAACCTAAAACAATTTAGACATTTTTATGGTAAAATAATAAATTAAAACATTTCAATAAATATTTACTTCAAATTAATTTTAGTTATTTGATTGTAGGTATATGACATAGTATTTCGGAATATTTCAG